TAGTAGTTTTTACACTCGACATGAAGTTTAGAGGATGTTTTGGAGTATTTGACCAGAAGACGATGCGATGTTATTCGCCGTTTGGATTTTATGAGTTATTGTGATTCATTTGATTTTTTTTGGAGAAGTTTTTAGTTGAGATTTTTCCTCGTAGAAGATATATGTTTAATTTCTAGTCAAATTTGGTTATCTGTTTAACTTAATTTTTGCAGTTTAAACTTATTCAACGACGGCTTCACTCAAACTAACTCGGAACAAAATTGACAAAGACAATCAAAGAAGGAAATTTATCTAAATTCAGAGAATCATGTTATCGTAATAGATTTTGAAAGTTCGGCAGCTATTGTGGATACAAGAACACCTAATTGTCTACTTTATTCGAGATATCACTAATGTGAAATGCTATTTCCATCTTTTTACCGAACTATTATAAACAACGTATAAAGCCAAAAGCCTGATCAAAATTAATTGATTCAATCAAGATTAATAAACTAATATCCCCAATGGAGAAAAGTGAAATTCCAACAATGCAAAAGCCCAAAAGATTAATTAAAAACAAAAACAGACACACATAATAAAATTGTCCATCGCTTTCCCCATTAGCTATTTTACTAAGTATTAATTAACTTTCCACTTACCAATAAACAAAAATAAAAATGCGCATTTGTTCTTCATCGCCTTCTCTCCTCCTCTCTATGTGCCCTTTCTGTTGAAACAAAACTCAAAAAAAAAAAAAAGTCTTCAATTTCCATATTCTACTCTTTTGATTTCGCGATTTCGTACCTAAGGAACCTAAAAATCTCACCTTTTCGTTTTCTCACCGGAAAAAGTCGCCTGAGCTTCCATAAATTCGGAATTTTGCTGCCGGATTTTGAAAATTTTCTCGGTTTCTCATCGGAGAAAGTAACAAAAGACTTGATTTTCACGATTAGGGTTTAGTCTTAAATTTGGGGAGTTTTGGGGTTCTGGTGGAAGAGAAATGATAGATATCCCTGGAACACCAGGGACTTTGACTGGTCTTGTCCTGAGAATTTCGCAGTGTGTTTTTGCTGCTGGTTCGATTTCATACATGGTTACTTCCGGTGGATTCTTCAGCTTCACTGCTTTCTGGTAAAAGTCTACTCTTTTATATGTTTGATCAGCTTCGGAATTGAGTTGTTGAATATATAGTGTGGTTTGAAATTGAGAGAGGGTTTTAGATGAATCGTTCAGATCCAATCCCAAGCAAGTTGCTTCAGAATCTTAACTCTTTTAGACCAGTGGCCTTAGTATTAGGATTTGGAAGATCTCTGCTTTTTTTAATGGTTCGGTTTGGGGCACATGGAAGATCTTTTGACTTGATTTTGTGTATTGCTTCATGATTGTTTGATCCATCAAGGGGAATCTTGCTTCTGTTTTCTTAAGTACAAGGATCTTCTTGAGCATACAAGTAGTTAACTTATGAAGAATCATCAAAGCCTTTTTTAGATGTAACATCTGATTTGTGAATCTTTGATTCTGTAACAATTTAGCATTTCTCAAGAGTAAAAAGATGTGAACTTTTTCGAGTATTTTGTTATACCGCTTATTTGTTCTTACACATGGAAATTTGATTGCAGCTACCTAATCGCAGCAATGGGTTTGCAACTCATATGGAGTTTTGGTCTTGCGGTACTAGACACATTCGCCTTATTGAGAAAGAAAACGCTTCTTAGCCCGGTTTTAGTCAGTCTCTTTGTAGTTGGAGATTGGGTAAGCTTCTCTCTCTCTCTTTAATGACACAAGAATCATCAAAACCTTAAACCGTCTTGTTTGTGTGTTTTCCCGGTTCAGGTAACAGCGACATTGTCTCTAGCAGGAGCCTCGTCCTCTGCGGGAATAACTGTACTATACTTTGGGGATTTAGGAAGCTGCAGTTTTGAAGCAGAGTGTTGGAAGTACCAACTCTCTGTTGCTTTAGCCTTCCTCTGTTGGATCACAATCGCCATTTCGTCACTTACCACACTCTGGTTACTTGCTTCTGGGTGATAAACCATTTTTCTTTCTCTCTCTACCATATATATAATTGTTACACAACTCTTTTGAGATTTTTGATTCTTTATATTGTTAATAGAAACGATTACACCATTTTTTTTTTCTTAACTCTTCATAGCTTTTCTCCTTCATTTTTGTTTATTTTATTTTGTGGGAATCTTGTTAGATGTAAATTATATGCTATTAGTTAATGTTTATGTAAATTAACAGATATTTGAATTGAGCAAAATGCTCTTATTTTGTTGTTTCTAATCTTCATCTGTAAACTTCAATTATGAATAAGGTTTTAGGTTGGTGGTGGTGGCTTTGCCTTGCTTCGAAGCTAAAAGATGGCAAAGATCCAACGGCTGGGATTTAATCAGTTAAAAAAACTGATTCGCTACTAGTAGGGCCCATTAGGACCACGTACTTTTGATCTTTATAAATCCACTCCCTGCATTCTCAGATTCCTCTACATTTGGTACAATACCTTTTCGATTTATCTGTTCCAACCTTTAATTTTGATCAAGAGACAGAGATGAGAAAACTAAAGTGACAAAAAAAATTCACAGGTTTTTCAGACATTTTATTCAAAAAAAATAGCCCCAAGAATTATAAAATCTCTCTATCTCCCCAATGGTTTACTGCAAAACTACTGATCAAGAATCATCCGAAGGAAACAAAATTCCAAAGTGATTTGATATTAGAGATTCTTGATGTTATGATTCAATGATGAACCAACCACAAGAGAAAGATAGATTAAGCAGCACGAGGAGTGTTTAGGTGATCATGAGACGTATCACGGTCCGAAGGATGTAAGTATGGCCACATTGGCATGTTTGGATAGTAACCGTAACTCGGGTAAACCGCCATTTTATTGGGATGGAAAGCTGCTGGATGCGAAGGCATGAAACCAGGCGATGGAACCGCCATAGATTTCAACTGTTGCTCTATCTTCTCCTTATCTGCCTTCAACACCAGTTTTTCCTCCCTTAGCTCGTTCTTCTCCGCCTATTCGAGACAGTTCAAAAACCGAAATCAAATAAGTCACAAAGATAATGATTATGGCTTCAAATCGGTTTCTCATTTCATAAGCAGAGATAGCTTAGGGTCTCGGTTATCATTTGGTTAAACCTAAGTTTAGTGGCTCAGTTTCATGAGTTGGGCAATCAAATTGTAATCACTAAGACAAAGTGAGAAACCAACCTTCAGACTCTTGATCTCTTCTAGGAGCTTCTGGTTGGTTTCTTTAAGCTCATGTGCTTCACCTCTAAGCTGTTTCACCGCCCGGATTGCATCATCGATTATAGCTGATTTATCCGTCTTTGGAGTCCGCTTAGGCTCCAAAACAGAGCTCAAATCCATGAACCTGAAATATATCCGTTTTTTTTTTTCCATCAGAGACTGCGGAACAACACAGTGCAAATAATATCTTAAACATACGCATGAGGCAAAGCTCTGAACATACTTGTCATTTAGCTGTTCCCTTCTCAGTTTCTCACGACCGGCTTTGGTTCCCGGCTTGCTACATGATCCAGTTCGTCCCCTGTTCAATACATAATCAGATTAAACAACACAGTGGATACTAAAGAAGTCCCTATAGAGAAACAAACAACAAGATCACACAACATAGTGAATGCTTAGGTGATCTACGTCGAACATATTTGAGCTAGTTTCACCTCCAAGGGACTCGTGGTTGATCCTAATGACCCGATAAAAGTTCTCTTTTTGTATTTATTTAGTTGTAAACCAAAAGAATTATGTGCAAGTAGAGTAAACACAAGCAGAAACCACAAGAGATTTTGAAATCATCAATAACAAAGATCAAAGGATTCGGTTTCTACCTCTTCCGCGAACATTCTTCCTCCACATGTTCTTCCTTAACAGCTCCAACAGATGATGAAGAGTTGATTTCCACTACACCGCTACACACTTGTTCCGGTTCCTGCTGCACATGAGAAGGCCCTGAATCGTCGTCTCGACCTCTAAAGCTACCGACTTGCAGTGTCCCTTGCTGCAAAACTCCACTATACGATTCCCCCGCCAAATCCAATTGTGATGATCCAATGCTGCTACTATAGACAACTCCACCATAAGGGACTCTTAAATCGTTGTTTTCCCCTCTAAAACTACAACCTTGAGGAAGGTTTCCGTTGAAAGAATCGAATTGAGCTCCAATGTTACACACTCGTTCTTGCTCTTGCTGCAAATTCACACCTGATGTTCCAAAATCCGAGAAAATGTTCTCTTGATCTGTCTGGATAAACGCGTAAGGATCTTCTACTTCATTGCTACAGAGTCAAGAGTACAAAATTCTCCATCAATGACAAAGAGAAAGCTTTCTTGTATTCAAAATCACAATATCCCCCAGAATTAACCATGCTCACAATTTTATATTAAGGTTTCGCCATTCTTATTATATAAAGGAAAAACCCAAAACGTGTTTTGTAATTGAAATATAAAATTGGATTCAAAGTTCGAAATTTTAAGAAACCCAGAGATTCAAAAAGCATAAACACACATCACAATTGAATTGAAAGCAGAAGAAGATGAAACTAGAGGGAGAAATCGAAGAAACCTTTGATCGAAGCAAAGAGCAGCGAGGAGATCGTCGTCGTCTTGGAGAGATGGATACATTAGAGAGAGTGAATGCAGAATGAGAGAATTCTGCAAAAATCGTCAAGAGGGACGTCGAAAAGGAAACTGTAATCCCTAAAGGATACTACTGTATTATAGAAATTATATAAATCAGAGATTTTTGAGTGACGTAATATTCGGAGTTCGTTTGTTTTTTTTTTTTTAATAATATCATTCGGAGTTTTTTTAGTGGAAAATATATCATTATTATTTTTAGAAAGTAAGAGGGAATTTTGGAATTTAACCCAAATCGTATTCTTGAAAAAACATATCGAATTTATGAAAAATGCTTTGGTTTATATGAGAAGACAAATGAAATCAGAATCGAGTTTGTATTATATAAAAATAAGAAAATTGAAATAAAATATGGTGGGTTTATAGAAAGCCACGCATTTACAAAATGAAATTGGTTGGGTCCAAGAGTCGAGAGAATCGTTCAGTGTTGGATCGCTTTTTGTAAAAAGGCAAATGCATTATGTTTCGGTTTTTGTTGGGTCCGATTTTTACCCCTTTTTCCTCATTATTTTTTATACTTTTTCTACATTATTTTTTAAAGACTATTTGAGT